ATATATATTTGTATGTATGTATATATGCATATACATATATGTATATGTACACATGTATGTGTACACACATGTATGTACATGTGTATGCATGCATGTATGTATGTGTGGGTCTGTATGTATGTATGTATTATGTGTATGTATGTATATGTGTTTTTGTGTGTGTGTATAATGTGTATGCATGTGTGTGTATGTGTATTTGTGTGCATGTGTGTATATGTATATGTGTGTATGTCTATTTGTATTATGTATGTGTGTATTTATGTAGTGTGTGTTTATGTATATGCGTATGTATGAATGCATATATGTGTATGTATATGTATGTGCTAATATGTATACGTATGTATATATGTATATATGTGTATGTGTGAATGTGTGTATATGTGAATGTGTATATGTGTGTGTATATGTGTACATATATGTCGTGTCTATTATGTGTATGTATTATATATATATATATATATATATATATATATGTGTGTATGTATGTGTGTGTATGTATGCATGTATGTATGTGTGCACGGATGTATGTAAGTGTGCATGGATGCATACATGTATGTATGGGGTGTATATATGTATGTGTATGTATGTATGTATGCCTATCTATATGTATGTATGTATGTATGAGTGAATGTATGTATGTATATATGATGCCTATCTATATGTATGTATGTATGTATATATATATGTATGTATGATGAATGTATGCGTATGTATGTCTATCTATATGTATGTATGTATGTATGAGAGAATGTATGCATATATGTATACACGCATATATGTATGAATGCATGTATGTACTAATACATGCATGTAAGTATATATTTTATTAATGCAAACATGTATGCATATACATATTCATGATATGTTTTTATGTACGTATAATTTATTATTGCAAACATGTATATATGTATGATATGATTGTATGTATAGTTTCTTTCATGCATATATCATGTATGTTTGATGTATGTTTAATTTAATCCTTAAACTTATATTTTATTTAAAATTACACATAATTATTTTTATTTTTGGTAATTTACGTCAAACCAAATAAATTACGTTACAAACTTATAAATTTATTCATCAACTTTTCAAATAAATGTTATTTAGTTTGTTTTGATATTAATTTTAACTTTGCATTTAAAAATTGTTCCAATTTAACTCTTCCTTATTGTTTAATTTATTTAAATTTAGTTTATAATATTTTAGTTCTTAAAATTATATTTTATTCAAAATGACCTATAATTATTTCTATTTTTTTTAATTTACTGCAAACTCTATAAATCACATCATAAATTTCATTTCAAACCTATAAATTATCATAAACTCCAAACTCGATAATATTGTTCCCAACTTTTCAAGTGAATACAATATAGTCCATATTGATATTAATTTCAGCTTTATATTTTTAAAATTCTTTCAATTTGATCCATGCGTGTTTTTTAATTTATTTAAATTCTGTTTTTAAATTTCATGTTTGTTTAATTTAATCCTTAAATTATATTTTTATCCAAATTTGGCCCATAATTGTTATTTTTTGTAATTTACTCAAAACCCTATAATTCTCATCATAACTTTATTTCAACCCTATAACTTATATCATTATCTCCAAACCTTATAACTTTTATTCACCAATTTTGTAAATGAATGGAAGTTAGTCCATTTTTATATTAATTTCAACTTTACATTTTACAATTGTTTCAATATGATCACTTTGTTATTTAATTTATTTAAATTTAATTTATAATTTATGTTTTCTAAATTTAATCCTTAAAAATGTATTTTTAATAGAAATTGAACCATAATTACTTCTACTTTTGTTATATACTCTAAACCCTATACAATCACAAATTACAAATAGACATTTTATGATAGATGAAAAATAATTCACCTGAAAATGATCTATCCTAAAGTCCATTGTACCTAGTAGATCTGACTTGAAGTTCACCCAAAATTGATATTACTCAACCTAAATTTTATTTGTTAGTGATGAGACCTGATCTGAACGGGACTCAACTCGAAGTTCATCCAAACCTGAATTAACATGATATTTAATTGATTCGAATTTAGACCGTTTTGCCCTGAACTGATATTGATTCGACCTAAAATTAACTTGACCCGAACCCAACTAAATCTGATTTAAAATTAACCTGAAGATTATCAGAATCTGAGTCGACTCAAACCAAATATGATTCGATTTAAACCATTAAATTAATTTGATATAACTCGTATTCGATTTAACTTGACCTAATATGATCCAATAAATCTAAACAATTATCCGATTTCACGTCCCTAGATAAAACAATTTATATATGTCATGCATTTAGAAAATAATGGAATATTTTTTAGTATTAGAATAATCTTTAATGAGTTGAATTTAACTTGTCAGAAAAATTGTTTCTTACCAGTTTTGCCAATGTTTCATGTACTTTTAAATAATATATTTTTTTAAAATAGAATATAATAAATTATAATGGTAAAACGGATCTTATAGATTAAAGATTTGAAAATTTTATTAAAATAATAAATCAACAAATTTTATTTCTTCACAGAATATAGCTAAGACTGCATGCAAAAATATTTAGATCTTAGTTTATTATTTTAGATTTTAATAAGATATCATCCTTTAAACAAAAACAGAAACATATCTTAAAAAAAAAATTATATTAGAAAACCCCAACTATAGAAAGTATCAATAATTCAACTCCTTCATCCTCGTCACACTTAATCTACCATTACTCTCCCCACGGTGTACTAGATATAATATACCTTACATCTAAACATTGTGCAAAGCTTAAATATGATATAATATAACAAATCCATAAATGTTTTATTTGAAACTTACATTAAAAATTTAGATTTGAATTCTATTGTTTTATAATAATAAGAATAAAATGTATACATTGAAAATAAAGAATTTAGATTTAATATAACGTATTGTTGAAAAGTATAAAATATTGATTTATCAAATACAAATTCATAGTAAGGATTTTAAAATCTCTATTAAATAAGTATTTAACTAATCTATAAATTAAAAACAATAATAAATATCAGTCTTAGATATTATTACTCAATTTACATCATTTTTAAATCCAAAAAAACAAATACAGTTTATATTTTAAAATTTAATTTATAAAGGATCCAAAATTAAATATTTATAAATAATTCACATATATTATATTATAAAGGATGCTTTGTATTATACTAATGCAAAGTAAACCATCTCAAGGCCCTCATTAAAAACCTCCCTAATCTAAATGGAGGAAAAATAGTGAATTTTGAGGTGAAGGGATATATACAGTAACCAGGAACCAGTAACACTCGACCTGATAAACACTACAAGACACCAAGGCTTCATCGATCTTCAACAAACACGCGACTACCCCATAAACACTCCTAAAAACAGCCAAAACTGCCTTGAGCTGCACACTTACACAAACGCATAACCCTCAGTAAATCACACAATCCCAACATCATAGCTCAGGTGCACCCCACTGACAGCCTAAAGAGACAATTCCACCTCAGACCCCACAAACGCCCTATTAACTACCTCAAACACATAAAAAAGCCACTCTTCTGGCAACCAAAACCATGTGCAACCCCATTACGGACTGTCGGGGAATCAAACAAACACAAGCCCATACCTCTAACGAAACAAGGACCCTTACCTTCAACCTCAGCACCTGAATGCCACGAACCACTACCTCTTAGGAAACAAAGACCCTTATCTTCAACCTCAGCACCTGATGCCACGAACCACTACCTGAAAAGGAGCCAACAAAAAACTCTAGATTTTAGTCCCAAACCACCTACAATTGTTGCGTATGGATAAACGAGAACGAGGACCAGTGGGATGAACCAAAGCACCAAAAGAACCAGCAACCAACCCTCCTGCAACCTAAAGAGCAACACAACAGTAACATACGGGCAAACATCATAACCATACTCCAACACCTCACCACAAAGATAAAGCTTCAAAGAAACACTACCTCGAAACAATTCCAAGTGAACCCTCCTGCAACCTAAGAGCAAACACAACACGGACAAACTGCTGATATCTCCGCTCCATCGCGCCCAAGGCCACACTGAACTCACTCTCAACTTCATGAACCTCCGAAGGGAAAAGAATGGAAAAACCCTACCAATAAATAAAACGAAACATATCACCAGATCACCGAAACACTCTGCACAACCAAATCTGGCTTCAACAAACGGACCCTAATACTGATTCTTCCAGGTAAGAAAGAACAAGACCCCACAAGATCCCAGAACGACAACACTAGGAACGACGCCAGACCTCTCATCTAATCCAGCACAAAAAATGCTCCATAACCCCATAAAACTGGATAACACCCCGTTAATTAGAACCTACAACTTGAGTAAGCCGACAAGAGGAAACCAAAAGTGCTGAAACGATGCTACCAGGACCTGAAACCTTCCATCTACAACATACCAACCGCCCAAAACGAACATGAAACACTTGAAAACTCTAAGAGCCGGCAACCACAACCTAATCACCTAAATGCAGAAACATATCTGAAGCTTATAGAATCCGAGAAAAAAACAAGAAACCTATAAAAAAAAAAACTGAAACCCCATCAACCTCCCATATGCCCCAGGACCGCTAAACATGCTTCATGCTTGCTTCTGAACCTCACAAACTCAAGAATGGATTCAACCCAGAAACATACCACGTATGGCACTGAACCAAACTCCAAGAAAGCTTCAATAATAGAAGACGAATGAATCCTCTTACACCCGTTACTGACAAGATCATGAATCATCTTGAAGGAGGCAAAGCAGCTTATCAATCAACCATGGCGGCGGAGGCAGATGGGAGAAAACAAGATGCTAATGAATTCTCTAGCCAAGAAATATTGACAGTAAAACTTTTTAAAGTTGAATAGTTCCAGGATGACTCAAACACCATAAACAGAAAATGAAATAATCACGGTTTTAAAGTGCTAAGTAGAATAATTAATGGAGCATACAGAGAATAATTATTGCTCCTTCAGAATTACATGCCATATTGTGAGAGAATTGATGAAAATATACGGCACTAGTAGGTTTTGTAGCTCTGCGTATCATATTAAAGTGTTTGTTTTTACAGGAAGTAAGTAATACTATTGTAACCGACGGCCACCGGAGCCACTCTCCTCTGGCAGTTGAAATAAACGGCAGCCACCGGCAGGCCGAGATTGTAGAGCTCAGCAAAGTCTCTGGTCTTGAAATTCTGGCGCCACACCGGTGCGTACACCGTTTGCCTTCCCAGCTGCCGGAACAACACAAACACGAAGCGGTGGATCCCAACCGTAGGCCGCGGGCTCTCGTAGCACACTACTTCTTGCCCTGTTTTCAATAATCCACAGCATCATCAGTGAAAACGAAGCGAAAGAGAGAGGGATGAAGATGAAAGCATGCCATACAGTACAAGCTTCACAGATAAATATTTTTGGATTGAGCTCTAGTGCTATATATATATAATCCTTAAGAGGGAAATTTTAAAATTTTAAAGAGATATTAACGTATAAAATCCTTAAGAGATGCAAAAAAAATATTTTTAATAAAAAATACATAAAATCTAAAATATATATAATTTTAAATTTTTCAGTGTGACTAAAGTCTCTCTCGATTCAAAGCATAAACGTGGAGTCTTGGACAATAACTGTTTTCCCACTAATCTTTCCGTCATTGGACAAAGTTCTATCTGGATATAGATAATGTTCGCTATCAAATTAGATATTTGAAATTCGATCATAATATTATGATAACCGTAATAATACCATAAATGTAATGCAGTAGAAACCACAATTTAAATCTCTGAACTCTATCCCTACGCTTATTTCTTGTAAGAGAAGTCGGTAGTGAAGACAAGGGTTGATAGCAATTCAAGTTTACTTTTTCAAGGGTCAGTCTATGAGGTATCATACAAAAGAGATTATTGGACTATAAATTAGTCAAGGAAGGCCCAATGAATCTTAAACCAAAGCAAAAGATATGCATATAATTATATATGTTATGTAGTAATAAAATGTTAATAAAGGCTGCAAAGAAGTACTGACCAAAGCTTGCACCAGTTGTGGCTGGAATATCAGTTACCAACCTGAAGAGTTTGGTTTTGAAAAGAAAAAAAAAAAGGTTAGTAAAGTACTGTAAATTGTTATATACCGAAGAGCTAAAGCTACAACTCATCTGATGGAATAAAAAGGATTTTGTCCTTTCTGCAATGCCCCCAATAACTAGTACTGGATGACCAAGCACTAATATCTATGATACATGAAGAATCCTTTCTTCCTTCTTTTTTCCTACTATTTTTTCACATGAATAGGGTGGAATTTTATGTCTTGTCATTGACATATGTCAGTGACAGAATATATGGATTTAATCCCTAGTTTATCAGTAAAAACATAAAAATAAATGCAAGTATTTAATTAATTCAAAAATATATAATAAATTAATTAAAAGCCAAAAGTGGATAAAAACTATTGGTCAACAATTAAAATTAGGGTGAACAAAACTCGATTACATTCGAAAAATTAATTTTTTAATTTATAATTATTTAAGTTATTCGAGTCAACTCAAATTTTTATTTCAAATCGAGTTCAGATTTTTCCAACTCGGATAACCGAGAAACCCAAATTCAAAACTACGCTGTTTGATATTAGGTTTAAATATATTAAAACTACGTCGTTTATACCCTTGAGGTAATTTTGTTTCCCCTGCAGAGCACTTCGGCCAGCAAAGCAACACCCCCAGCCCACGCGTATTCAAAATCCTTAACGCTCTTCGAACAAAACCAGCTTCGTTTCATGATTCCCAAATTAGTTCACACTGATTTTCAGTAATTCCACTGATTTACAGTCACCGGTGTTCTGGTAGGCTGCAGTTCGTTAGCATCAGAACAAAATCCCCAAATCAATTAGGGATTTCAAGCACCCAAATCAGGTTCGTTCTTTTTGATCGTAGCCATCAATTAGGGATTTCTAGCAATTTTAAGTTATGCTCATAGGTTAATGTAATGACACAGGCTCATCATGCATACATACCTCTATTGTTTGCGAACTGTAAAAAAAAAAAGCAGAAAAGGACCCGGAAGGTCATAAGCCTATCAGAACCTCTTGTAAATATATTTAAAAAAATACTAGGAGCAATTTTGCCAACGAGAAGAACATTGTTATCTACGACAACATAAGTTGTGATCAGCCCCAATCTTTTTTTTTTACCTAATTTGTTCCTTTTACTAGTTACTACATCAATAATTTATCAAATAGTTAAGGTTTCGATTGTACTGAGATACATCATGTCTTGCTGGCTGAAGTTGCAATTGACGTAGAACAAATTCATTCGTTATAGGAACTTTTTCTAGTTATTTTGTGACAATGTTTCTTATTGATGCTTTAAATGTTTAAGCTTTCCTTTGTTAGCTACTGAACTAGTGACGGTTAAGTTTGTTTTAGATTTTTTTAATGTACTGCCTGTTAAACAGAACTTGCATACAAGAAAGAAAAGGCTACAAGTCGGTGGTTTGTAGACCAGTGCATTTACAGTTTGAAAGAATAGAAAAATAAAATGAAACATCATTTTTTGTTGTTGCTCCATTGGTACACATGGCACCGATAGGGAAAACCAGTGGACTTGTTGTAGGTCAGAAGGGTATAGGCATACAAATTGATTATTGATGGCTTGTTAGGACACAATTCTTTCATTCATAGAACTCGTGATCTCTAAAATGAAGTTTTAAGATTCGATCAACTTGCAACAGTTGCCTTGGAGGGATGTTGAAGTATAGATGTGTGTCATTGCCCTAATTAGGTTATTGTTATAGTGTGTGTTTTGTGTGTTCATTGTCATCCCTTGGTTGCTAATGTGTTAAAATTCTTCTAAATCTGTAGACATTCCTTAATAATTAAATTACATGTAGTAAGTGTATACATGCAGTAAGTGTATTTCAAAAGCTCTGTTTTGTGTTCCACAATATTTATTTAAGTGTATACATGCAGTAAGTGTATACTTGCTGTTTTGTGTTCCTTAATATATTTCTTATATTTCTTTAAGTACAAACATGAATAGTTTGTGTTCCACAATGCTCTCTTCGAGAATTGTTTGTCCCAAAGAGTCAAAGACATATACATGCAGTAAGTGCATTTAAAAAGTGTTGTTAAATTTTAAAGGTTTAAACACCTTTAAAGTATGCCTTATTTTAAAGTTTAAAAATGGAAATATTAATATTTATATTTTGATATTGCATACGAGTGAATCACAGGAGACTCCAAACTCACAACCATGCGTTCACAAAGTTCTTTTACATGTAAGGTCAATGATCCAACGAGTAATAAATGTTCAAAGGAAACAAAAACCAAGAGCAACATGTTGGAACCATTTTAAGAAATATGTAATTGAAGATGGGTAGAATAGGGCAAAATACAATTATTGTGACATGACTTACTGCATGGAAACTAGAGGTTCTACAACCAATATGAATAATCATTTGAAGTCATGCTTAGAAAAACCTCGAGGAAATACTTCGGATTCTAAACAGTTAGAAATAACAATACTTCGGACGACCTTGAAAGCGAAGCGACAAAAATTTCAACTTGGAAGTTGAAGAAAAGGCTATTAGAAAGGCGTTGATTCACATGATAATCGTGATGAGTTACCTTCCGAATTGTTGAGGGAGAAGGGTTTACGTCATTTCTTTCTCTAACATGTCCAAGGTTTCCTCTCCCTTCTCGTTTACCATAAGAGGAATTGTCTCGATTTATTCAACTCCATGAAGAGGTCAATGAAGAATTATTTTCAAAAAGATACAAGTAGAATTTTTTAACAATTGACACTTGGACTTCACTACAAATGGTATCTTACATTGTTCTACGGTGCATTCGATAGATGATGAATGGATGCTGCAAAAGAAAATCATAAACTTTTGTCCGATATCTTTATAGAGGTGAAAGCATAGGTCAAGCCCTTGAAAAATGTATCCAAGATTGGGGGATTGAGAGATCTTCACTATTAATGTTGATAATGCATCTACTAATGGTGTTGGTATTGAATATTTGAGAAAGAACTGAACCATTGAAATGCTTGTGTTGCAAGTGGAAAGTATATGCATATGAGATGTGTTTGTGCATGTTATAAATCTCATCGTACAAGAAGGTGTTAAGTATGTTTCTGTGTCTGTTGATCGAGTTAGAGATGTTCTAAGGTATATAAGAGCATCATTATCAAGGATGAAATTCTATGATCGGACAGAAGAAGAAATGATAGATATTAAGGCTTATTTATAATATGGATTTAAGTTATCAAAGAATATTTTTGGAAATTTTTTTATTATGATCCATTAAATCTGGTCGTAAGACATAGGTCGAGTCTAGAAGTTACATTTAGTTGGTATCAGAACTTTTGATTTTTAAACCTTAGACTGTGAATGGGTCGAAACTAAAAAAAATGTTTTACAAATAAGTCACGAAAACTATGCCATCAAGTTTTTACGAGTTTAGTTGTGTGCGGGACTCCAAGTGCCAATTTAATCTTTGGCTTTATCTTTCTATAATGAACCTCAAGATCCACCAAAACGAGCTCTAGATGTGGTCGCCAACCTAGCCGTGGGCAAGGTGGAGCAACTAGATTTACGGACCCATAGACGAGATACATGTAAATCCCCCACCCTGGTAGATAATTTTTCCCCTACGACCCTAATGGATTTGTCTCCTACACCTAGTATAAGTTTGACTACTCCGATTAGAGGACCGCTTCTGAAGCTGAGCCTACTATGATAGTATTAGATGATAATCTCAGTAGACAATTTCTCCAGTTGATTCAGGTAGTGGTTCGAGCTTACACTCGAAGTTTTTTATCTCTCAGACTCTTATTACTAATGGAGTTTAAGACCTTGGAGGCCTTATTGGTGGAGCTCCGACTGAGGCCAAGGATTGGTTTTTTGTACCAAGCGACGTATGAATCAATTAGGTTTAGATCCACAGTGGTGTTATTTGGGAGCTGCCTCTATGTTGGACAGGAATGCCCACACCTGGTGGAGTTTTTGGTGAGTATTGTTCCAGCCAATTGTTTGAGCAGGGATTTCTTCAGAGAGCGTTTAGGAGTCATTTTCTGAGAGAGCGTTATTTCACGCAGTTCAAAACCTGGTTCAGGTTGATATGACAGTTTCTGAGTATGAAATAGTTTCTGAAGTTGCTGAAGTAGGTTCTAGTTGGTACTACCGAGAGGGATAGGTGCCAAAGTTTGCTCATGGACTTAGATACGAGCTGCGTCGATAGGTGGTTACTCATCAGGATGAGGTGTTCGATGTTGTTGTAGGGAGAGTAAAAGACATGAGAAAGTCTTCTGCTCCTAATAAAGATAGGGTAGAACGATAACAATCTAGGAGATCTTTCGATCAGTCTGAGCCTTCTGCACGCCCTGATAAGAGGACTAGTAGAGTTGCCTATTAGAGGAGTCATTCTGGTTCGAGGGTTGCATCACCTCAATATCCATATGTTAGTCGAGGCGATTCTTCAGGTTTCACATCGACACCGAGTTGTGAGTACTATGGAAATCGACACGGGGGAGAGTGTCGTAAGAAGATACCTGTTATCGTTGTGGCTCTAGTAAGCACTTTTGAGGAATTATCCGCTCTAGCCTCTGTTGATCGGACTCCCGCTCAGACTCTTGCACGTTCACATGCTTCTGTTCAAAACTCCCGCTAGGAGTCACAATCAGGGTAGGACTTCCAAATTTGTTTCTAGGATTGACAGTATAGCTTGAACGCAGAGTAGAGGATCAGATGCTTCTGAGGCTCGACAGTCTGCCCTTTTCTACACCCCCGTTCTGGTGATCGAGTTGAGTATAGGACTTCTGCAGGTATAGTTGTTATTTCTGTTACTTACCATGCATTTTTAAAAATGCCCTTTCTATACTTGAGTTTTGTTGAGACCCTCAGATTTTTGATTTAAGGCATCGAGATCATTTTCAATTCGAATCTAGAGAGTTTTTCCATTATCGTTAATAGAGTAATTATCATTGTCATATGAAAGAACCTTTAGAGACCTAGTTTTCGTTTTGTTAGATTTGTATGAATTTTGAGGACAATTTTTTAAGGGAGGAGAATTGTCACAACACCATTTTAAATTAAAATTAAAATTAAAAATTAATTTAACTAATTTAGGGACCAAATTACAAGTGTTTAGAACTTGTAGCCCAGTTTAGAATTTGTAAAAAGTTCAGGGTCTTAACCTTGAATTTACCCATTTTTGGGCAGTAAAGAAAAAAATAAAATATGAAAAGTGTGGTTGAGAGGTTCGGAACCCCTGTTCAGTAGCATGGTCGCCATGCCTTAGTCATTTAGGCTAGGGCAATATACATGACATTATATTTAAGAAGGCTTTATATACACTCCCCATATATCAAAGTGCACACTCTTCGCCCGGCGCACTCGCCAATTTGACTCGCCGCCGATCGACGACCAAAACCTAAGCACCATCGTTGCGTGATTTATTGTCAATCGGCACGAATCAACGTTTGAATCATTGTCAAAACCCCCATCCACTCGGTTTTCACTTAATTACCGATGATCTAATCGTTCTCTTACCTCATTGTCACCACTGAGTTCTCCACCTCTGTGCACTCAAAACCTAACCAGTGGGTCTTGTCGACATCGCCGATTTCATCCGACCACTGTCGGGGTAAGTGTTTCAACCTTTTTGTTTTTTGATTTTGACGATTTTAGTTGTTTTGAGCGTTGATTTGGCTTGGTAATGTTCATTGGGTGATTTTGGAGTAATAGGCTGCCACCCCCAACCTTGTCGACGGGTCGTGTGCGCGTAGGGCTCCTTCTCCAGTCATAACCCTTCTAGAAATGGTCCAAGTGGATCGAACCAGCCCAACCCGGTTTGAACAGGGTATTTTTAACCCGATCAAGTCAACTCGAATCGAATTGAGTTAACCCAAATCGGCATGAGTCAACCCAAATCGATCTGACCGTTGACTTTGACATAACATTGACCTGCCCATTCTTTGACCATTGACCTTTGACTTTGACAAAAAATAAAATTTCTGAAAATTCATAATTTATGTTTTTCGACGTCCTGAGTTTGAATCTGAAGTCCATTTTGCTAAATTTGAACCCAAAAGCCTCCGAATTGACCTATAAACCCAAATATGCACATGTAATTTAAGTATTTATTTAAGTGCATCTAATTTAATTGAAGGCTCAAAGACTAATTTATGTTATCGTATATTTAAGGTGTTCTTGGATAGCCTGACCCTTCGTCTGCTCGACCCAGTTCCTCCCAATCCGCTTGACCACGAGAGCATGTGATTACTCGTATAGTTTTGCAACCCTATTAAATACTCAATTTAGTGTACTACTTCGATAATAACTTTGTTCTGATATGACCTAGGTTTGCATATAGTAAAAAACGTAGTGAAGTTAGTGCTTGATAGATCTCCCGAACTGATTCTTTTTGCGAGGTGTGTTCCTTGTGTGCCATATACATGTTTTAAATATATGTTTAAAATATCATGTGCACATAACTGTTTTATTTGATTCAATGAGACTATCCGTTTTAACCTGATTTCGTATGATTTATCTGTTTCAAGTCTGATTTGTAATTTACTGAAGTTTTTAAGCATGGTTGTCTGATTATATTCTCTGTTTATTGTTTTTATTGAATTAGTATATGTCTGAACTTTGATTGTTTTGCTATTGCTAATTATTGTCTGAAAACTATTTTCTTCGGGGTACTCTGGAATATGATATGAAGTCTCTGTAGGTTCAGTTTTGATCAAGTTGGTTTCCTTTTATAAGTTCAAACCGATCAGCTGATAATTCCTTATGGACCTAAGACGATCCTTGGGTGGGCTCCGGGGCCCCAATAGGCCTAATGGTAAGACCTTATGGGCCCTAAGGTACTCCCTTAGGGTGGCACCTTTGCTATATGCATTGGGTAAGTCCTTATGGTTTGAGGGCACACCCCTAAGATGGGCACCTACGCTTTGGCTAGGGTAAGACCTTATGGACCCAAGGTGTTCCCTTAGGTTGGCACCTACGCCCTTTGAGCCTAGGAATAGTCATTATGGATGCAATTCTAGGGAACTTCATACGATGTTCGGTTGGATGACAATTCTGTATTTTAAGCCAAAAACACTACTGACGTTTTCATAACTTGAAACTGAACTGATTTGGAAACTTAATTGTATGTTTTATCTTTTCACCGTTGGAACACATTGAACTCCCTAGTTTACTCTCCCAAACTTTTCCCTTTCAGATACTATTTGATAGGTGACCTAGACCTGACACTTGGAGGATCGACACATTCTTACAATATTATTTTTTTAATGTATTTATATTCCGAGTCTCATTTATTTTGGGTGACATGTGCCTATATTTTGAAAATACTTGTTTTATGACATTTGTTGCTTCTGCTACCGATGTTAGATTTGCTTCGATATTGACTTGTGGAAGATTTGGTTTTACTTACTCGTTTATGATTATATATATATTATTCGAATTATAACTTATCATTAATAACTATGTTTTTAAAAAATGTTTATTTATAATATGGATTTAAGTTATCGAATAATGTTTTAGAAATTGTTTTTTATTGTAATCTGCTAGATCTGGTGTTAACGTGTAGGCCGAGTCTAAGGAGTTACACATGAAGGTCAATCAAGTATTCCGACGAAAGTTTCCATGCTTATGGAACATCAATCAAAGGCGAGTTTGGTCGTGCAACAATATCTGTTAAAGAAGCAACGAGTTGATTTGGAACAAAAATCTGAGTTGGATAAATATTTGACTGAGAATGAAGATGGAAACAACTCGAGTTCATTTGATATATTGTTGTGGAGGAAAGTGAATAGTCCAAGATACTTTGTTCTTGCGCAAATAGCTCGAGATTTTTCTCGATTCATATCTACAATTGCTTCAAAAAGTGCATTCAGCACAGGTGGACGTGTTCTAGATGGTTTTAGAAGTTCATCGACTCCGACATGGTTGAAGCTTTGATTTGTACTCAGGGTTGGCTTCGGAGATTTACGGATCCTATCAATCTTGTCGAGTATGTTGCAAAACTTCAATACATGGAAGAAAGTAATATTTAATTTTGATTTGTAATGTTAATTTTTTTCTTTATTTATTATAAATTTATTTATAATTTAACTATATTTGTTTTTAAAAAAAATAGATTTATCAAGAACAATTGAAAAAGAAGAATCTTTTTAAAAGCTGCCAACAATGCACGAAGAAGAAGAGGAAATCCAAGGATTTTAAAAATGTTATTCGAGAATTGAATAAGTAGTTTATTGTAATTGGCTTTTTAGACTATCATCGCTTTGCTTTTTTTTTTTTTTGGTATTGTCTTGTGATGTTGGATTTTTTAAACTCTATTATGTTATTGTTCGATTTAGTTATTAATATATTTTTTGGTACTATTTTTCCTCCTTCTGTTGTCTTTGGTTTTGCTTCATCATGACTTAGATAAGAAGATGTTTATTGAGGCTCGATGTTTAATGAAAAAAATTATTTTGTAGAAAAACTCGAACAATTCAACTCGAATTTCTTAAACTAGACTCGGTAAGAAAAAAATCAAATTAAGTTTGAGTTGTAAAATATAACTCGTAAACTCGAATAACTCGAAATTTTTTAATTTGATTCGACTCGATCGAATGCTTACGACTAACCAAAATGGTGTGACCATTTCTAACCGCTCCCCCTTAACATAAGTAGGACGATTTATCCTGTATCGTTAATACAATCACGGTAGACACGATTTTATATTTAAAAAAGATAAATTTATAAAATTTTAGAAAACAAAAAAATAGATTTTAATAAAAAAATATTTAAAATAATCTAAATTTTCCCCATATCTACCCTTGAATGCAACTCTAAACTTGCTGAGTGCACTTACTTGTTTAGAATGTCGAGTGCACTGTCTTGAGGTTTATAACACATGCAAAGTACCAAAACTCAGCATTTTAAGTAATTGCGTTTGCCAATCTTTGCTCACTGTCACTGCTCTACTTGTATGTATATATAAACTTAGAAGATTGTAAGATTTTATATTAAAGGACAAACTTTTAAAATTATAGAAGATGATAAACTTATAAAATTCTGAGGGGACTGCCCCAATAGTCCTCTTGGGCTATCCCTACATGTAAAGAGCGAGAAACTCACCAGTGCAAGTATTCCCTGAGGTTGGGGTCACTTGGGCTGGGGGCATCAGGATCCACCATAACCTGCATCGAATGTAAGTACATATGTAAGGGATTAAGAAACCAAAAACACAGCATCATTAATGTGTGAGTGTGTGGAAGTAACCAAAGTGTAGAAAGTCCTGAGGTCATCCCCGCCGATATCAACCCTAGGCTGGTTCACAACTTGAGAAGGTTTGAGCTCAATGCCATTGTTAACCTCCCTAGCACCGTAGGACACCCTGAGAGCAATAGACTTTGTAAAAGAGTCCAAAACATCTCCTATAACCCTACCAACTACCAGTGGATCTCTATCTCTAGGCATGCTATTAAAAGAAAAACACTTAAACTGAACAAGTATTCCCGAGTGGTATTATATAGGGGAGCCTGGTATCTACCTTTATCTTTATGTCCCTCCATCAATAGAATCTGAGCTTTATTTATTTATTTATTACAAGTATAGTTTAGCCCGCAATGATTTCATTGGCGTATACAGAATATTCAATCCAATGGTGAAATTGATTATCATTATCATGGTACAATAAGTTTAAACCACTTCTTTTCTGTTTTTTGTTTTGTTCGACAAAAAAATTGATTCGGTTCAACCGTCCACACAGCCAAGATTGGATTGCCGATTATGTTGTTGCCGTTGAGAGTATAATAAGGGGGGAAAAGGAGGCTGTCACCCTACCATGCATGACTGACACCATTGGTAACCTCCCTATCTGTTTTTGTTTTGTTCGACAAAAAATTGATTCGGTTCAACCGTCCACACAGCCAAGATTGGATTGCCGATTATGTTGTTGCCGTTGAGAGTATAATATAAAGGGGGGAAAAGGAGGCTGTCACCCTACCATGCATGACTGACACCATTGGTAACCTCCCTAGCACCGTAGGACAACCTGAGAGCATAGACTTTGTAAAAGAGTCCAAAACATCTCCTATAACCCTACCAACTACCAGTGGATGTCTATCTCTAGGCATGCTATTTAGTATTTCTAATAAAGGAAAACACTTAAACTGAACAATTTTTGCTTGAGTTTACTGATGAAACAAGGTATACACTGAGTGGTATTTATGTAGGGGTGCCTCGTATCTACCTTTATCTTTATATCCCCCATCAATAGAATCTGAGTTTTTTTTTTTTATTACAAGTATATTTAGCCCGCAATGATTTCATTGGCGTATCCTGATATTCAAACCAATAGTGAATCCTCACACTGTAAAGCGGAGTTAAGAAGAAGGGGCAATTCCTTTTTAATTTTCAAAGCCGATTCCACAGAATCCAATCATTATCATGGTACAATAAGTCTAAAACCACTTCTTTTCTGTTTTTTGTTTTGTTCGATAAAAAAATTGATTCGGATCAACCGCCTACACAGCCAAGATCGGATTGCCGATGATGTGATCCCGTTGAGAGTATAATATAAAGGGGGAAAAGGAGGCTGTCACCCTACCATGCATGATTGACACCATTCTAGCACATACTTCACCTGGGTTTCCTATACTTCTTTAGTGTTTCTGTTGCCCCTTTATGTGATTCCTATACCCAGATCCACGACTTACATTATTTTATACCTACTTTTTCTTTTTTCTCAGGGTAAAACGGTGTTCATGCATTCGAATATTTTCTAGTCTGGAAGACCTTAGCTGAACAACGTCTTGTTCCCAACAATATTATTTTCAATTATAGAATGAAGGACGACGCTTATGACTATATAAAGATGTACATTTCTTATTTAGACATACATATAGGACGGTACAACTATTGTTTGAAGGTTGGGTTTTCACTTTGATTTAGTTTATGCTAGGTCAGTTAGAGTTTTAAAAAAAGAATAATTATTTTAAGATTAAATCACTTTGGAGTGAATATTTAATCAAATAGAATCATTCAATTTTTTTATTCAAATTTAATTATATTTATTATATATTATGGTACGAGTTGTTTCATTTATCGACCTTCTCTAACCATAATATATATATATATATATATATATATATATATATCCACTTATACCTAGTGTAAAACTTCTAGTTTTACACCCTTTTAGAATCGTTGGATGAGAGAAAGCTAAAGATGAGGAAGCTAAAAGTTGAGATTAACTCCTTATTTTTCTAGTGAATATATTATTATTATTTAATATTAACCACATCTTTAATTTCCCATTCAACGATCCTAAAAAGGTGTAAACACATTTTAGTTTCCCATATGTAATTACACTCATTTAAGATCGTCAGATGAGGGGAAATCAAAAGCATATTAATTCATTGTTTTTTTTTTCGGTGAATATCGTCTCATTACTTACTGTTAATCTCTGCTGCCTTGATTACCCTCATCCAATGATCTTAAAAAGGTGTAAAACTTTTTAGTTTTACACTATATAATTAGATCCTAGCCCATATATATATAATCATATTCTTGCTCACGTTATAATGTTGCTTAATAAAATCAAACATCATCTAAATTTATAAAATATAGGGTAAACTACACATTTAGCATCTAAAATATCAATTTTGTTTCGCTTTAGTACCTAAAATCTCATTTATTTTAAAAGCATACCTGATATTTCCTTTTTTTTTTTCCATTTTAGTACATTTCTATTAAAAACTTCACGTAACTATTGCATGTGACATTTTTATGGGTAAATTATACCATTCATCACTTAACTATCTTCTCACTCCTATTTAGTCACTAAAGTTTAAATCTTTTCATTTAACTACTCAACTTTCAAATTACTAATGTTTTAATTACTCTAATTTATTTTATTAATAATTTTTGGGACATGATATTTTTATCACTATTTATTATATAATTAAATAAAAAAAATAATTTTGAAAGTTAGAGTGACTAAATTAGGAGTAATTTGAAAGTTAAATAATTAAATTTTTAAAACAATTCAGTGACCAAAATAGGAGTGAGAAGATAGCTCAGTGATATATGATGTAATTTACCCATAAAAAAGTGTCATGTTGTAACATGTTAAGTTTTCAATGACGAGGTACTAAAATAAAACAAAAAAATGTGTTTTGAATTTGAAACAAATGAAAGTTTAAGTATTAAAATGAAACAAACTGATAATTTCGATACTAAAGGTGTACTTTATTCTAAAATATATTATATGTTTTTAAAGAAGATTTTGAGGGAGAAAATACCGAGGAGATTCTAAAAGAGCCAAGGAATTGATGTGAAGAAAGATTTTCTAAACCTATAGTTGAAAGACTAAATGAATAAAATTAATTGTTTAAATTAAATTAAAAATATTATACAAATTGAAGTTATAGGTATTCTATAGTGGTAGAGGATCATTGGATTCAAATTTGGTTAAAATGGACCTAAAATAAATGGGGAATTTAAGAAACATGAAATTGTATAAATGAGGGATTAAATTTTAAAAATATTAAAACGGTAATAAAAAAGAAATCAAGCTACACTTGTATTTTTCAACGGCTTTGAAGTGTGTTCAAATTTGATCAAAATAAACTTAAATGAAAGAAGAATTGGAGAAATAAGAATTAGGTATTAAATCATAAAATTGTCAAATTACTACCTAATTTGTAATCTTTAGTTACTTGAACTTCAGAAATTCAAATTCGACTTGTACTCAAACTGAACTCAAAATTAAATTTGACTTGAATAACTCAAACAACTCTAACTTGAATACTAAAAAAATTTAAAAAATCTATTTTTCGAATAAATCGAATTTTACTCACCATTATACTAAAGTTTGCATTATTAAAACCATAACTTTCTTGAGGATGGACAATTGCATTAAAATCCAATCCGAAAACCCATGGCTTTTCAAATACAATATATGGCTCAAATTCACCATACGCAACCATAATCTTCATCTCTTAATCACATCGTTACAACCGTAAACAACTGGGCTAAAGAAATCCTTACCCTGATCATGAACCTTGCAAGAAACATTGATCCATAGAATCATAATTGAAAATAAAATTCCATTCCTAAAAAATATTTTGAATAACAGAATTTGATTTCGGTTCTTTAATCCTAATTTCTAGAAGACACAACATTGCCCTGTCCGTCGTTTGTTTTCCTCTGAAGAATCACTTGCTTTTGGCCTGATTGAGACTCTTAATATTAAAAAAAAATGTCAACAATTAGTTTCATTTTTCAACTCTACGGAGTAATGAATAGGAAAAAAATATTTTTAATAATTTAATCTTTTTTACTTCAACCATAGTTTTTAGGTGCATAAAGTTTAAGACATACTGTATAAACTATTTAGAATTAAACTTTAAGTTATATGTGTAGAGATCAAATAATTTTATATAATTAGAGAATTAGTCACAAAAATTAGTTAAAAATTTATTTATTCCAGTAATGGTATCATTAAGACTATAGACATAATATGTTGTATATAGAATTAGAAAAACATTGAATAAATTTACAATTAATTTCTAGCTAATGATTTCATGATTTATTTAGTTAAAGACTAGTTACAACACTTTAGTTAAATAAAATTAATAAAGTTAAAATTGCACACAGAAGCAGATGCATAATATCTCAAAGCAATTATAAAAAAAAAATAATTTTATCGAAAGGATAGAAAATAATTTTTTTTTTTCATAATCGATCTAATTGAATTAAAAATTATCCCATATGCAATTTTATGTCACTAGTTTATTATTTACAAAATTTGCCTCATTTTTTTGTTAAGCATGCAAGTTCATTAATTTGTAGTTTTAAAATCGTGTTATATCTAATAGTAGAGTAAATATCCTTAAATTAGAAAATAAGAACACTAAGTTCTTGAAGAAGAGTGTTTCTTCTTCAATTGGGGTGTTTGGATTCATTATGCCATAAGAAAATCTGAGCCACATATCACTAAAACCAACAATCAATTTGACTTTGCTCTATATGGAAAATGAGAGTGATCTAATCGCCTTGGTATTATGTTCAATAAGGGAAGGTTCGAAGGTTCATGTAATGTATGTAAATTGCTATTGAAAACAATTCAAAACTTCTCAAAAAATCATTGGCCAACACCCTAATCATGAGGTTCACATTGATGAGGCTCACTACTATGAAAGGCGTTCGTGATCACATAAGAGATACATGATTTAGTAGCTCGAATCAAGACACTCGAGGTTGAAATATATAACACCTCAGACCGATACGGGTGACTCGATCTGATCCGAGGTGTCACATTAAGGCCATCAGAGCGACCCACAGTAAAAAGCCAGGAAAAATTAATTTTTTTGTTAAAACATGAAAATCATAAAATAATTTATAAATAAAATACAAGGTCAAAAAACCATTCGTATATTAAAAAAAGAGTTAAAATAATACAAGTTCCAAACTCAGTA